TATCATTCCTAAAATAACTAAAATAAGTACTTTAACACTAAACAAGCTACAAAAATCAATAAAATCATAGGGCTTTGATTAAAATCAAAGGAGCTTTAAAAAGGATTTTCGTTCGGTTCGGTTCGTTCACGAAAAAGTTTTTAGTAATAAAGTAAGGGACCTGATTTATTGAAACCAGATCCTTAGTTATGTGTTATAGGAACAATTGATATTATTTATTTTGACATCACCCTCTTTCATGGTACGCAAGAATGTACGAGACTAGCAGTTTTCGAAAATGCGTCATTCTAAATTTGTTTAGTGGATTGTGAACGTCTCCTACCTGAATGTTTATGTTACTTATCATTCGAAACTTCTACGAGACTTGGGAGATCTCGTGATATTGATACGCTTCGTTGTCATACAAATCGTCTTTCGATGTTTCTTTGTAGATAAATCGAGTAAAAACCATGAATTCACGATTTGAAATCAATCTTCAAAATTACAATTTCAAATGTTCCATTTGTGGACTGTACAGTGGTTAAATAAAAGATGCTAAGTCATATTGCTTATTGCTACTACGACATAAATCCTCATCAATAGCTTCACTAAATACATAAGTTATTTATTAAACACCACATTAATTGATACCTATTGATCAATACAATGTAAGGTCGTATTCACAATGTTAAACTTTACACTGCCTGTAATTACCATACTTATACCGAGCGTTATTCTAACTCAAAGCTACGACTGAAAATTTTCGAAAAATCGACTCATTCCCAATTTTGCTTTATCCGATCCAAAAGCAGATTCCTAATTCTAAAGTCGCGCTCGCCACCACGCGACCTACGAGGTAGTCTAATTAATTAACCATTTCCAAATATCAAAGAAACAGACTACGAAATACACATTTTTTTTTCTCGTAGCACGTCTGTAGGCGCTCGTAGCCGTACCTGTAGCCGTAGCCCGTAGAATGCAATTTTTTTATTATTTCGTTTGATATCGATGCACGATATTTTTCATTAGGTTCAAAGCTATTTGCTGCTTTTGCACGTCATCTTTTGGTTTGAAATTGAAAACGTATTTATTTATTTTTGGTTTCATGACGACTAACGAGCCCGTCTAGACTGAATCCTTGTTTTACTTAAATTTCCCCATTAAAAGTAAGGAAATCAATGAGTTAATATTGGCAATAAATCGAAGTGAAATAACATTCAGTGTTGAAAAAGATTTACTGAAAGTATCTACCTAACATTTCTTGCAAATAGTTCACAAAATATTTTAGTAGCAATTTTTGAAAACGTCTGCCAGAATACTCGTAAAAGCTCTATGAATGGTTTTCCTTGAAACTGTCTTGTGGAGGCTTTGCCGTGCACATTGCCATGAAGTGCACCGCAGATGTTGCCACCACTAGTCAGGCGTAACCAGGTTGAAATGTAGCGAACTTTAGTTTAGTTTCCCAGATTATTTTCCAAGGTAGCAAGTTTTCCTCTTGTTGACACTTTTCTTACGTCCACAGCCTTCTGTTTTCGAAGATAATTATTTTTTGTTTGCTCTTCACTTCTTGTCTTTGTGCGCAACATTTTAGACTTGACTTAAGTTATAAATATAAGGCTGAATTTTAAATTAAATTTTAAATCTTTTGAGATGTTCTGGTTAGGAAATATTTTAAGAGTTTCCTCTGTTACCTGATCATACTGTGGAACGGAGTTAAAGGAGCAGCCCGGAATATAAGATCAGGATGCGATTACCATATGCATAGTCACGGTTTGTACTTCGGTTGTTCACAGGCGGTGCTGATTGTCTACCATAAAAATGTACACTTGTGACCAGCTGCTAATTATTGTATAAATTATTGATTATCTTACTATGTAACTCTAAGCAACATCCGAAGACAATATCATTTTAAAAAGAATTTGTGGAACAGAGAACATTTATCAGATGATGATGATTGTTAAGTAGAAAATTATCCTTACAAGAAAATAATATACCTGTCACATTACAAAATAACTAACCTTTTATTATGCTGTGTACCTAGGCAGGTACAAGCGTTGGGGCATAGAAATAATAATAGGTAAATTATGTAAGTACCTGCCGAAAAAATAAATTTAGAAAAATGTAGATTATAATCTCTCAATCAAATATACAAATGATTCTGCAGCAATATGTAAAAGTATCTAGTATTCTGAGTTGCCTTAAATCTTCGTAGGCCTAATTAGCCATTTCTCTGAAGTTTGATTTCCACTGCTGAAATTGCTGCTACATATTGCAATGCATGATTTACTTGGTCGTCATTATTTTGCTATCTTGCGTAGTGAATGCGGCTCTGTAGTATACTGAACTTTAGCCGATCCGGTCAAAGCCTAATCTAGACAAGAAAAGGACGATAGCAAAATGAACCGCCCGTGACAGTTCATTACTGTACTAAAGACTTATCTACAGGACCACAGTTTAAAAAGGTTTGGGTAACCTATCTACCGAATGAGTGTAATCCCTTATAGTACTGTCCAACATGCTCTAAAATAGCATGCTAAAAGCGTTCTATTGAGCATGTTCGAAAATGCTCCAAAATATAACGTCTGTCGATTCGCAAACATAATTTTGATCAACATGCTACAAAGTGACAAGTGCTTAATTGAAGTATGCTTTCGTGCTTGACATTAGCATGTAGAACATTACCTAAAGTTAGTTGCTTAAGGTTATTTAGGTTAGTTAGATAATTTTAAGGTTAGTCAGTTAATTTTCAGATTTCAATATTATGCAATAGGTCCAGTTGAAACTGTTGACTAAATTTTAAGAAAATATTTATTTCATTTATTTTTTATGCATTTACATGCATTGTACATTAGCACAATAAGCCACCAGCAGTAATAAGTCATCTCAGCACACGGTAGCTCTTGTGAAAGCACAAAGTACCAAAAGGGCAAAGGAAATTCCTGTACACGGTAATTTCTTGTGCACCAGAACGTATACATACTTTTGTCTGGATTCTTAAAGAACTTGAAGTTTGCGTTTTCGTTCATTTTATATTAACATATATTTGCTGCCTCGTGTTTTCCTCGCGTATTCGAGAAAAAATAATTTAACTATATCTCGATCTTGATATTGAAATTACTCATAAATACTAACTTAATAATTTTATTTTATTGTTTAGTTTATAGTTTAACTCGTCGAGTACCGGTTTTGTAGACACAATTATAGAACAATAGGTTGCGGTCACCGGTGACCGCTTGGTGTTTGACAGTTTAAATAAGATAGCCAATTACGACGTGAGATGCATAAATTTATTTCTTCTTTTTTTCCACTGTCTAAATAGCTATTTTATTGTATTTTAAAATTGTACAATATACCTAGCTTGCAGTTTATTAAATTAATGCAATCAACGGTTTCCTCATGCACAGTTTTGTTCTTTTCTTTGTATAAGTGTCAGAAAGGGGTTACATTGTTTTGCCGAAAAAAAGTAGCGAGTGCTTCATATTCGTCGAAACTCGCCTCATATACACGCTACAATGAATGTTGGAGAACTTTTATAGTCCTTTTGTTCAATTTTTTTAAAGATATTAATACGATATTTGAGTTGATGTTTCTAAAACCTTTCGTTACAATCGGTACAAACAGACTTGAATATGTTTATGTATTTAGTAGGCACCAATAATAGAGTGCCGTTTAGGTACTTCTTTAGTTCCATCACAATTGTACATCTTACATACATCATACAATACTTTTTCGCACCAAAAATGAATGTTCCATTTATAATATTTCTGGTTTAAGTCGTGCACAATAATAAATATTATCCAATTAGCAGCAGTAGAAGATTTTTTTTAGTTTTCAAATAAATATTATCACCGTAACTTGCATGTGAGACTTAGACGTAGACGCAGACTGTACTTCGATCAACGGCCTATAAATGCTCACTGCTGAGTAAAGCCTCTTCTCACACAGACAAGGTTTGAGCATTAATCACCACGCTTGCTCAATGCGGGTTGGCGATTACAGACTTATATTAGAAATTATAAGCCCAGGTTTCCTTACGATGTTTTCCTTCACCGTTTGTCAATAGTGTCTAAATAATCTTAGAAAGTACATATAACTTGGAAAAAGTCACATTGTACTTGCCGTTGGTAGGTTTCGACCCTCATGCATGAGAAGCAGGCATCTTAAACCTCCGGGCCACCACGACACTGTACTTGGGAGAAGCCTATATTAAGACCTATATGGTATAAAAATTTTAGGGGTGGCAACCCACCAGTGACGCCTCTGGTGTTGTGGGTGTCCATGGGCGGCGCTGATCGCTTACCATCAGATGATTCGTCTGCTCGTTTGCCTACTATTCCATAAAAATAGAATACTAAAGGTCTTAATATTGTACATATCTGACAACTTCAGGGCGTAGCAAATTGATACTAAATATGGCGAAAATATGATTAGAATTCTGAGTAGGAGGCAGAGATGAATTAAATGTAATATCCACCTTTGCTAATATATACGTACATAACACATAATAGGTTTCAATAGGAATGTGATCCATGTACTTTGTACGCAACAGACAATATTCCGGACTCAAAACTATTTGCTACTGAGATATTCAAAACTGAAAACCTAATAAAAGTTCTTCTAGTTTGGAAATCCAATCCAAGAGTAGGTAGAGATGAGTAGACTCGTTGTTTCCACACTATATTTATCGCATAGTATTTGAGGTTTAACCTAGCTCGATTTAAATGACAAGGGAACGGATAAGAGTCCGTGGAGAAAAAGAAATGTAATATAATAAAAAAAAACCTAGCTCGATGTTTTCGACTCAACTGTTCTATTTAATGACGCTTTTCCCGATAAGACAAAAAAAATAATTTTTGATATTATTTTTGTATCTGTTTTTTTTTCAGTTGCAACTTAAACTTTTAAAAATAAGTCTATCCATTATGGAAGCTGCATAAACATTTCTGAGTTCATCGTCAATATATATAGAGCCATAGGGTACTTTGTGTTATTATGGTGTAAAGTCATCATTAATAACTTACCTGGTTGTAGATACAGCTGAAGAGTCATCGTCCCCGAAAACAGTGGAGACAGGCGACTGGTGATCTTCTGAGTCGTGGCGAGAATCTTCCGAATCATTGCGAGCGTTAGAATCATTGTGATCGTCTGAGTCATTGCGACCATCTTCCGAGTCATTGCGACCATCTTCCGTGTCATTGCGACCATCTTCCGTGTCATTGCAACCATCTTCCGTGTCATTGCGACCATCTTCCGTGTCATTGCGACCATCTTCCGTGTCATTGCAACCATCTTCCGTGTCAATGCGACCATCTTCCGTGTTATTTTGAGCGTTATCAGAGTCATTGTGGTCTTCAGAATAATTGGAATCAATTTGATTAACTACCGGAGATTGCTGAGCGTCGTCACGATCATTGTGGCCATCTTTTGAGTCATTTCGAACGTCTTTAGAATCATTTGGAGATTCTGATGCTGGTAAGGGGTTCGGGAGGTAGTCGCGGGTGCTACGTATCACGCCCGGCTTGAGGTTCTGCGTGTCCGCCATCCCTACTAAATCTGGAATGATGAAAGTCAAGTTTAAACTTTGAAGGTGTTATTTGCTGATGGCAAATAGAGTCATTAGGACAATTACTTGAAGGCACATAATTACTACCGATTGGCGCGGTGACTGGGCGACTGGTTGTCGCGTAACGTGTAGCGGGTTTGAGTCCCGCACAGAGCAAACCTTTGTGTAATCCACAAATTGTTGTTTCGGGTCTGTACGTGAAATTGTATTTTTGTTAACAAACTCACGACACAGGAGAAATTCATAGTGGGGTGACATTCAATGCAAACCAATAAAAAATTAATTCAAAATTAAACCTGAATTAATTAAAATTACATTTATTTAATAGTAAAATGCTTTGTATAAAACGGAAAACAGAATTTAAAATAATCTCTCTTAAACTGACTCAGAGAGAAAATATTAAACCTTCAATATGCGTCAAAAATAACTTTCGCTGTTGGATTTTTATACTGAATCAATTTTATTTCCATTAACATATTTCATTGACTGCCTCGTTGGCCGAGTGGAAGCAAGTGCGCCTGCCGGGCAAGGGGTCTCGGGTTTGTCGGGCAAAGTATTACTGGGTTTTAAAAAAATTCTCAGTAGTAGCACGGAGCAGACTCCGCAGACACGGAGCACATTCCAGAGGAATTGTGCCCGGTATATGGCAATAGGCTCACCCCCTATTACATGGGACTCATAACATAAATAGTGACAAGTGGGTGTTACATTGTATAGTGGCATAATGTGCACCCTATATGTAGGTTTGAAGTAAAATTCTAAACTAAAGGCTTTAAACATCAATTTATAATAGCCAAATATAAGTCGATGGCCGCACATCACCGAGATGTACGCAAGAAATATTATTTTTAAAAAGCTTCGCCGCTCAGGCTTTTAGTTTGCTTTTTGATAAAGTTGGTAAGTGCTGCAGCGGATGGAATTGCGTTTTAACGTTGTCGAAAAACATTATGTCAAGAGACCTAGATATAAAACTTTTAAGTAAATTGGTAAGCCCTATTTTTGGCTCTATGGTAACGGCAGATTAGAATTCATTTGAATATTCCTCAAGTCTTCCTGGTGGTTTTGTAAGAACCAACTTTTATAAAAACTTCTACATGCTTAATAGAACGGGGCCGCAGCGTTCTATAAAATATTTGATTATTTTAACCTACCTAACCTAGAAATTATGGCAAACCCCGCTGTAGTAGTGATGTGGACTGTAATGACTAATTCTTTCAAGGAAAGTATGTCTTATATTTTACTAGCGACCCGCCCCGGCTTCGCACGGGTGCAATATGCAGGTATTATACATACAAACCTTCCTTAAGAATCACTCTATCTATTAAAAAAAACCGCATCAAAATCCGTTGCGTAGTTTTAAAGATCTAAGCATACATACGGACATACATACATACGGACAGCGAAAGCGACTTTGTTTTATACTATGTATTGATTTATAAGAACTGATTCATGTTTGTCCTGATGAACCTGCGACGTACAATGTCACTAACATTCTGACATTCAGATCTATCATTTGGCAGTGTACACAATCACTCGATAAAAGATTTGCAGTGCAACAAGTCTCATTGTCACATGAAAGCAATAAAATGACGTCACACTATAAGTCAATCGTTTGAAACGTTTCATTGAAATAAAGAGTTGGTAAAGTCATTTAACTTATGTTAATTATTCAATGTAATGTATGTTGTTGGTTTTTTTAGTAAGCTGTTTTTCTTACCTACATATTCCATATAATCGTAGTTATCTACATCTTATAAGTTGCTCACATCGTTGTCTCATAGACGTCATCACAATAGTAATTATTATAATGTTATGTTTGTATAATAACTATCGTGAGACATACTAAATAAACTAAAAATCGCGGGTTGCTCACCTGAATATACTGAGAAAAGCTCTACTAGTTTCGAACCACAGAGGGGTTCTTCCTCATGAGAAGCGTTGGCGCTCGCCTCGGTGTTGCTACTTGCGCATCTAGCCCAACGCGCCCTCTGCCGGACACCACGAGCGTTTGCTTCCAACTCCGGCGGCGGCGCGCTTACGATGTTGACGCGCACGGTACTTACGTTCACTAGCGGCCCGGGTAGTGGGTTCGATTCTGGGTTCGAAACTAGTAGAGCTTTTCTCAGTATATTCAAGTGAGTAACCCGCGATTTTTAGTTAATTTAGTAATTATTATGTTTTTTGATTACTATGTTTTTCGGCCTACTCGAGTAATTGTTTGACGAGGAACTCGACCAATTTTCCAAGCCATACTAGAGACTCTTATTCATGATTAAATTTTTTTTCAATATAGGATAATATTATTCTTCATATAGCATTAGGACTTCTCCTGTATACAGTCTCTGTCTACGTTCAACTTTAGTGAAATTTTCAGCTTCACAGTTCAGAGCCCTCTCTACGAAACATTAATGCGTTGCAACCTGAAAGTTCCCTTCGTATGCTGCGTTTTGTTTCGAATGAAACCTGCTTGTTAATTTTGATACCTGCTCGTAGGAAACTATTTAGTTCGCGAACTTTGATTATTAGATGAAGCCGTCTAGACGAGGGGTTTTCAAAGGGAAGTTTCATTTGTCAAATGATAGAGTGACTCCTAACATCTCGAATAGGTAAATTTAAAATGAGTAACATTTCGCCCGTTAGGTGCTAATATTTTTATAGAAAGGAAGGCAAACCATTGCTGTGTGAAATTATTCTTTACGACTTTGAGGATTTCTTCATTGTCATGTAATATCACCCTTCTAAACTTAGTGCTTAGAAGTTTTGAGATGTGTGTGATGTGTGGGAGAGCCATGCATCGGCACGAAGGGGCTGGCTCAACCGGACTGATACCACGGCCTCACAGAAGACCGACGTGAAATGCTGTTTCGTCGTGAGTGAGGTTACCGGAGGCCCAATTACCGTCCCCTCTCAATCCTCCAATCTTCCTCAATCCCTGAATACAACAATCCCTAATCCCAAAAGGCCAGTACCGCACTTGTAACGCCTCTGGTGTTCCAGGTGTCCATGGGCGACGCCGATTGCTTACCATCAGGTGATCCGTCTGCAAATTACCGGCTAATCCCATAAAAAAAACTTACAATGAATTAGTATAGTACTGTAAAATGTAACAGTAGTACAGTGACTGTTGTCAAAAACAAATGTAACAAGAGTAAAAAGTCTGGTTCTAATATATTTTAAATGGAATTCCTTTTTAACCGTCTTTCTCCGACCGTGTTTCCCGTAGCACTAAGGTGACAGCGTACTGACGTCTCCGCAAGTGCGGAAATTGGCATCTACCCTCACCAATGTACCTATGTGAAAATTTAAAGGAAGTAGGTATGTTCTGCGTAAGGAATTTTACTATTTTACCATTTTTCAGTAAGTAGTCGTGTTATTGCCTAAATTATTATTAACTAGCGACCCGCCCCGGCTTCTCACGGGTGTAATATACATGTGTTATACATATATACCTTCCTTAAGAATCACTCTATCTATTCAAAAAAACCGCATCAAAAACTGTTACGTAGTTTTAAAGATCTAAGCATACATAGGGACAGACAGACGGCGGATAGCGACTTTGTTTTATACTATGTAGTGATCTTGATCACGTATATTGACAAATATCATGTTCTTGTTTAATTTTCATGTTATAGAATTCGAAATGTAACAAGGAAAATCTCTCACTTCCCAACCCGGGAATCGAACCTGCCACCAACGAAATGAACAAGTTGTTAAAATAGTAAGAGAAAATATTTTAAATAAGAATATAAGTCTTATAATGAATTAGATGTAACACACGTGTCTTGTCCCTTAAAGTAAGTCATTAAAGCGTGAAGTTAGATTAATAGCCATAACCATCCTCAACAGCAGCGCTATTAGATATGTGTATGTGATCTTGTATGTTTGCGAAAGCACCCACGACACAGGAGAAGATCCTAGTGAGGGGCCACATCTTTTCTTTCAAAAAAAAAGGAAATTTGAACAGCCTTCAGAACATACGCCACAAACAACGACATAACTACTTATGAGAGTATTGTACCTACAAATGTATTATATTTTAGAAGCTCAGAAGCGCTACAAAGGTACCTAGTTACTAAAGGATTGCATCACTGCACGTAGTGCACATAATATGTAACATCACCGTGTACATTTCTTAGAACTAAAGGAGAATGCTCCAGGGCAGCACTCAAAATTAAAAATTTCGTAAGTTTTTTGCAATTTACCACTCGAAATCGGATACCATGATGATAAAATATTATATAATAATAATAATAACGCCCTTTATTCTGAATTTTTACATTACGAGTTGTTACAAAAAGGTTACAGTATGTATAATTATCTCTTAATTCAGTGTGCCTTTTGGCAAAGGCCTCCTCTAGCTGTCTCCATTGAATTCTGTCGCGGGCCACTCTTCTCCAGTTAGGTCCAGCTGTTAGCCTTAGTTCGTCCTCCCATCTTTTTAACTGCTTTCCTCTGTTGCGTTTACCGTCTCTCGGATACCAATCAGTTACTATCTTGCACCATTTTTCCTTGTTTTCTCTCATCATATGACCGGTCCAACGCCATTTTTGTTGGTCAATTCTTTTTAAGATGTCAATAACCTTTGTTTTTGCTCTTAGTTGGTAGTTACTTACATGCTCCACCCTATGTATACCTGTCATACTTCTTTCCATGGATCTTTGACAGTACTGAAGTTTGTTTCTATGTTGTTTTGTGAGGGCCCATGTTTCACATCCATATGTTACGCATATGTTATGCAAAATATTATATTCGCTGTAGTAAAATGTTCGTGTCTACACAACGATACTTGTTAAAACCATCCAATGCCCATGCCCATGTTTCAGATCCAAACCAATTAGTGAAGCTCGACAATGTACCATTTCAGTTTAAAAATTTGATGTTGTAGAACTTCTCTACCTTATAGAGTTATATTCATTTGATAGTTCTAAGCAAGCATAACTGTAAACACGTATATTTAACTACTGCAAATATATATTTTATCATCATACTA